ATTGTTCGACAATGCTAATTTTGCAAAAGAACAAATTTAAAAAGAAAAATGTTCCTTGAAGATACTATGGCCTTCTGTAGCAACGAAGAGAGATACGGTTATCAAGTATATACCGATCTTAAATATAATCCAAACTATAAATTAGAAGAAAGGATACACCACTACTGTTATTCAACAAAATCTCGAGGATCTCAATACGATCTTAACATATCAAAAATATATCGAGTATATAAAATATATACTGAAGAAGAATTAAAAGAGAAATCTTTAACCAAACAAGAAGTTTTACGACACTTCGAACAAGACCTGTACAGTAAAAGCTCAACTTAATACCAAGAGAATTATAAAGAACTCAAAGAAGTAATGGAATTATCATTTAATCAATATTTAAACAAGGTCAAAGAATTATTAGAAGTACATGAAAATTTAGAAAAACATTACCCAAATGGATATTTATATTGCAATGGATGCTTAACACCAATCAATATCAATAATGATAATGAATGGGATATTAATAATGACTTTGTAATTGTCTTTGAAGAAGAAGAAAAATACAACCAAATAATCGAAGTAGAACGAACTTATTGTACACAACATTGTTATGATAAGGAAAATAATCGTTTACGATATTGTAAATATTGTAACAATGAACATGAACTCGAATTACCTGAAGAAATCAGTAGATTAATGTGTAATCACTGCTATGAAGAACAATTTCCAAAGCTACAACCACAGGAAATTAAAAGGCGAACACCAACACCAGGACCATCAGAAATTAGAAAACGACCAAATACAATATCACCAGTCAAACAATACATTGAAAGATAGCATATCTTTCAAGGATAGAATTATGAATGCAGAACATGCGGAGAATGCGATCATCATTCACATAAATATTGTACTTAATATAATAAAATATATGATGGATTCTATAAAGAATACACATGTTATGACCCAGACATAACTATTGAACAGGAAGAAATTCCGATAGAACCCGAAGAACCCATCAGCACTGAACAATGAGTAACAAGATTGGAACAGATTGTATTGAACCAATCAGAACAAATTAATGAATTAAAAAATATTATTGAATATAGAAATATCCAATATTGGACCTTATTGGATAAGATTCGATATTTTCAGGATGAGATATCCACAGCAATATCGCAAGATTACAACCGATATTATAGAATGGAGAGTCGCTCCAAGAAGAACCTGAACTCTGGATGATCAAGAAGAATTCAATAATACAGTATATAGAATTAATGGACAACACGAAATCATTAACAGGGCAATAGAAAGAGAAAATAGCCGAGAAAGATCGTTAACACCATGACCAATTACTAATCAAAAAGAAGGATATAATTAAAAAAAACCCCAATGATAATTGTCGATGAATAAACATCTGACAAATAGATAGTTAATTAATAATTTGTAATAAAAATTGAGAACATTTCATGTAATACTTATTGGAGTATAAAATTACTCTTAATGAATATTATAGTATTTACCCTAAAAAGGGAAGAGAATGACTGTGATACGTGAGGAAGAGGCGTATACACGAAACCAAAACAAATTATCTGTATAACAAACAACACCAAAACACGTATTAGTAATATCCTTCTTATCTACTACAAACAAACCAAATTTTAGAATTAGTAATCCTCATCTATCTTATAAACAAAACAAAATCTTTGATTAAAAATCAAACCGATAATGACAAGATTAATAATCATGATAGCTAGGACTATCAAATTGAAAAATTATTTAAACACCCTTAATTAACCCGAATCAAAACCTCACTCATTACGAGTAAATGGAAGACAATAATCAAAAAGACCTTATTGAAAAACTTCAACAACAAATTCAAGATCTTGAAGAATTTAAACAAAAAGCAACTCACAATATTATTAGACTTAATAATTGCTTTCATAATCTTTATCGATATAAACTAAGATATTGCCCCAACAAATATTCTGCACCAATAGGAACTGACTCAGATGACGAATCCTATTATTTTATTCAAACCGCAAAAGTTAGACCACAAAAGAAAAAGTGAATGATTCAAGAAATAATTAATTATATTACTTGGACAACCATACAACTTTTAACCAAACAACTAACTGAAGAAGAGATACTTTACTTTCTTCTCATCAACCTTAATGATAACAGGAAACAATTTCATTGAACAGTTTGAAGACAACGAAACGACCCTTAAAAAATTACCGCTTTTTAATTAACAGGAATCAAAAGCCTACTAGCAAACTTATTGAATACTGCATTATTACAAATAGAAGAAAACAATAAACCATTCCTATTAGCTAAAGCCGCATTACGATATTATGTTTAGGCTTTACCAGAAAGTGAACTGATTCAAGATATCCAAGATCTTTTATTAAAACCTAAACCATTGACTACTCAAGACAACGCTAATTATGCTATAACAATTAATCGAATAATCGGAAACATCAGAAGGAATATTGACATATTATTACTAGAATTAAATCTTGATGAGTAAAAGAAGACCCATTTTAATTGAAAGAACAGACCAAGAAGTACTCGAACAAATAAGATTACATCTTATACAAATACTTCAATATACACAAAAAAGGTTTAATTATAAAACAGAATTATCTAAACAAGACTTAACAGAAACTGAATATAGGTTTCTAATATTCCAACAACACGCAGTAATAGCAGTATCATCAACATATCAGATACTAAATCTTGAGATAGAAGCCACTTTCACAAGAGATACTCTAAACGATATAATTAAAAGTTTAAAGAATTTAATTGAAAACATTGATCAAGAATTACTAGAATTCTCTGACAATAAACAAGAGATAACTATTTGCGAGCTTTGTCAACAATTTAAAAATGGAATCGACCCTATAGTAGATTCTGACAGAAACTATTCAGAAAACAATATTTAATGAACAACGAAACATTAAATAATCATATCTATCATTTAACTATTCTTAAAGGACAAATAGTTACTACAGAAAACTTTACTGATATATTTTGGCAGGATACCAAAATAGAAATATACGAAAGAATAATTAAAAGATTGACTAGAATCTCCAAGATAATTTAGAAAGAAATTGACGAAACTGAACATCTTAGACAGTCCAAAGATAGAACAACAGCAGATTCAGAAGATTCAGAATAATAGAAACTTCGAAAATATTAATCAAATATTTGAAAGATTCAATAAAAGTTACTTTAGTAATCGCTCTAAAGAAAAACTCCATTATATAATATTTGAAATATTTTTACATCCAAAATCAATCAAATTAATAACACCTGGATATGAAGAATTAGAAAAATTCTTATGGAAAGAAATGAAAAAGAATAGAGAACTCTCGAAACTAGTCGAATATATTTGGAATGAAAAAACAACCTTAGAAATAACCCTGACTAAAAGAAATCAAGAGGATATAACAACAATATTCAAAGGAATGGAATTGAAAAAACAAATCTTCAAAACCTTATAGTTTAAAGACCAAAACCATTATCAAAAATGGTCAAAAGAATTAGAATTATTGGTACGAATAGAACAGGAACAAAAACAACAAAAGAAAAACCAAAAGAAAAATGAAAATCAATTCAAAGTTCTAGATAAAATAGAAATCGAAGAAATGAAAATCCTTAGAGACTTAGAGTATTCAGGAGAAAAAGTAATCTTTGAAAATGATAAAAATAAAACTCTTTAGATCATGATTCCAAACCGGAACAATGGTTGAAAAAAATAAATGAGAATCAAATGTATCTTGATCTAATGGGTAAACAGAATCAAAAATTAATTAAAGAAGTAGAACAAGATCAAAAAAGAAGGAAGGATACTTTAAACAGGATAAAATGTTTAAACGATAATGAATTTAGAATAATTGAACAAACCCTGAAATATCTTTATAACCAAAGAAGAGATAATTTTTACCAAAAAACCTTGGTAAATGAATTAACAAAATTCAATCAGTTCGACAATTATTTAGAAGAACATTTGCTTAAAGCAAAATTAATAACAATTGGAGGAGCGATAGGAGTAGGAAAGACCACATGGGCCCTACAACTTAAAGAATTTCTCATTCAACTAGGATACAAAGCATTCTTAATGGAAGAAATCACTTTACAACATAAGGATTGGCTTTCTTTAATGTACTCCAACATTAGTAAATATTCATTAGCATTCCAAGTACTATTAATAACACAATGGAATATTAATTATCAAAAATTAAAAAGACTCGAATTGGAAAAGGTTATTGATGAGAATACTATCATCATATGTGACCGAACTGCAGTCAAAACAAAAATATTTACTAAACACAATATCGAAAACTCAAAAGAGTTACAATTATTAGAAAAACTTCTTTATCAAACGGAAACACAAATATATAAAGATACATATTATTAAATATATATCAAATGTGGAAAAGAAGAAATGATTAAAAGACAGGCTAAAAGAAATCGACAAGAAGAAAAAGATATAGATAAACAATATCTATACGAGATATATGACATGTATGAAGAAATTATCCAAGAAATATACCCAAGATATATTGAAGTATCAACAGAAATACCAAAACCAGAAAATATATTTCAATCACTATTCATTCATAGTGCAAAAGGAATTGAAAGAAGACCTGAAGAAATAACATTAGGATCAGAACAAATAAGAAATTTAATAAAAAGACGATATACAGTCATCACTCTATTTAGAGAAAGAGAGCTATCAGATGAATCCATTGAAGTCTTAACAGCAAAACGGTCCAGAAATGCTAAAATATATCTGGAACAATATTCAGGATTCGGAGGACACTTTGAAGAATATGATAAAACATATTGGAATTGTATTATATGAGAAATTATTGAAGAATTAAAATTCAAAATGAAACCCGAACGATTACAATTCATCAAAGTACACGGATATCTTTCCCACAATAGATCCAGCAACGACTAACGATAGTGATTATTCAAAATCACCGTATTATGTTGAAATAGCAATGTATCTATACCTGGTATTACCACATGAATATTCTCAAATAATTTACAATAAACCCAATAATATGTACCCACCTCAGTGGATAACAAAGAAACAAATGGACCACCAGGTATGGACCCCATTGATTCAATATTTTAAAAAAGAAATATTCGAAAAATACATACCAAGTTATTTAGAAGAATGGACCATAAAAGGAAAGATTACCAATAATCGCATCCAAGAACAATTTCCTAATCAAGAAATTTTTGAAGAATACAAAACACCATATGATAGTGATGAACAAAACAATTCGGCTGAAAAACCGAATTACCTGTGAACGTTATATCACAATTCATCACCAAGGGCTATAGTAAAGCATCCGGTGTACATGTTATCTCACCCGGCACTCCGTCCGATCACGCCCATCACATGTAGTATGCGTCACACTTACGATTACCAAAATCGGCAAAATCGGAAGATCCAAACAATTGCCAAAATTGGCAACCCGATTATTTATTAAAATATTATATTAACAATCCTTGATTATAAATCTTCGCTTATAAATATCCTTATAGCTTATTAATCATAATAAGTCATTAGTAATAGTTTACAAATTTAGCATTAGTAAACATTAGTTAGTAATCTTTATAATATAGTCTTCTTGAATGTATAAATACATCTAATAAAAAAACTCTTTCCGGTTTACACCCGGAATTTATTAAAAAACAAAATTTTAACAAAAAACAACCAGGCT